TTAAAACGCTCTATTGTTGCCAATCAATTGTCCATAGACACATGTCGTTTATTTCTTGACTCTCAATTCAGTTCCATTGTTCTATGTATCTCTCCTTATGCTAGTACTACATGTCTTGATTACTGTACCTTTGTGTAAGATTTAAAATCAGAAAGTGTGGATCCTCTTTGTTCTTTTTAAAAATTGTTTTGGCGGGGCGCCTGGGTGGCGCAGTCGGTTGAGCGTCCGACTTCAGCCAGGTCACGATCTCGCGGTCCGGGAGTTCGAGCCCCGCGTCGGGCTCTGGGCTGATGGCTCAGAGCCTGGAGCCTGTTTCCGATTCTGTGTCTCCCTCTCTCTCTGCCCCTCCCCCGTTCATGCTTTGTCTCTCTCTGTCCCAAAAATAAATAAATGTTGAAAAAAAAAATTTAAAAAAAAATTGTTTTGGCTGTTCTGGGTCCCTTGAGTTTCCAGATGAATTTTAGGATTCGCATGTCAATTTCTACAAAAAGCCAGCTGAGATCCTGATACAAATTGTGGTAAATCTGTAGATCAAGTTGATGTATTAACATCTTAATAGTATTAAGTCTTCTGATCCATGGGCATGGATAACTTTCCACTTATTTAGCTTTTTTTTTTAAATTTCTTTCAATGATATTTCATAGTTTTCAGAGTATACTTTTCTTCAAAAATTTTTCACATTTCTTTTTGTGTTTTATAAACTTACTTTTATTTTGCTGGAAAGGGAATTGTTTTCTTAATTTCATTTTCAGATTTTTCATTGCTAGTGTATATAAATTGATTTTTGTATATTGATTTTATGTCCTAAAATCTTGAACTCAATTATATGCTCTATTGATTTTTTAGTGGATTTCTTAGGATTTTCTACATATAAGATCATTTTTTCTGTGAATAGATGGGGAGTTTTACTTCCAACTTAGATGCAATTAATTTCATTTTCTGGCATGGCAGATTGCAAACCACCAAAAAATTTAAAATATCAAGTAATAATGTCAGATATGTACAGAAATAAACTATGATGAAGTGATGAGAGTGACCTCGGTAACTAGTTTAGATTGAGCACATGGGAAATGTCTCCTGTGAGGAAATGACATGTAACCTAACATCTGAATTATTAGGAAGAGCTTTCTACCTAGTGGGAACAGCTAACTGAAGAAACTGAAAGGTGAGAATGATCTTACTTTTTGAAGGAACAGGTAGGTTAATGTGAGGGGAATGCAGCAAGCAGGAGGGAAAAAGAGGTCAAGAGGCAACTAGGGGTTTGGTCATGTAAGACTTTGGAAACCTGAGCAGTGGAGGTTGCATTTTAATCTAGGTTGGATGGGGTGTTACTGGAGTGTTAAGCAGGGAGTAATGTGATCTAATTCACATTTCAAAATCACCATAGTTGCTTTGTGAGTAACAGGTTGGAGTGGAAGTCAGAGAATTACTTAGGGGGCTATTGTGACACTTCGTGTAAAAGAGGTTAATGACTTGGCGTGGGGATAATGGAGATGGAGAGAAGCAAATGGATGTAGGGTATGTTTGGGACCTGTTGACGAATTGGATGTGAAGAAGTGAAGGAAAGAGAGGAAGAGGAATAATTGCTGAGTAGCTGGTTTGCGCCCTTGGGTGGGTGGTAGTGCCATTTACTGAACTGGGATGATTGGGCTTGAACAAGCAGGGAGTTGGGGGGTTGGTGTTGGGGAGATACAGCACATGTTCTCTTCTACGTTCAATTGGAGATACCTCTTGGTATTCCAAATACGAAGCCAAGTAGGCAGTTCGATAAATATGACTGGAATGATAGGCAGTGAGCTGTTTTCAGCCTGAAGGAGCTGCCATGAGGCAGGAGGCACTCCAGGAATGTTTTAAGCAATCCAAGGTAAAATTGTTTTAAGAAAGTGTTGGAATTTGCTGATAGGCCCGGATTCCAATCCCGGTTTGTGGGTTATTTCACCTCTCTGAACTTCCTTCCCCACCTATAAAGTGGGATAACATCTGATTTGGGGGGTTTGCTGTGAGGCTAATGGAGATATGACATATCAGAGAGCTAGCACCATCCTCAGTATATATATTCAACAAATAGCAACTACTCTTCTATACCACCTACAGTTTGGTAAGAATTGGCCTTGTCATAGACAAATAATAAGAGTCAAACTAGCTACATTTTCTCAAGGAAAAACGCATCTTGGAAAGACGGATGTTATAAGACCATGCTGTAGTTCTCACTCTCTATTCTTCAGTAAACCTCTTTGAAAACAGCATAGGTCCCTACCAACATCAGGAAATAGTTTTCCTACATAGCTCTTCCTTCAAACGCTCTTTGTCTAAGTAACGCCAAGATCCTTTAATATAATAAAGTAACACAAAATGCCATAACCACCACCAAAATATTAGGTGTCCCTTTTCTTTCTTGCACTAAATACACACACACACACACACACACACACACACACACACCCTTAGTAATTCAAATTATAGGAAGAAGGATATAAAACTCCCATCTTAAAGAATTTAAGGCTACTTTCCAAATATTAAAATAACAACGCAACAATAGTTAACATTTATGGAGGGTTTACTATAAGTCAGAAAGTACTGTGCTAATTTTTTTAGATAAAGCCATTTAATCCTCCAACAATCCCATATGGGTGGGATTAATACTATCCCATCACCTTCCCCAACAGATTAGCTTTAAATCAGAGGGGGAGAGCTAGCCTATTTGAACTGAACTGGCTAGGTCCCAGTACCTCTTAACTAGGCAGTACAAAAAGGTGAGATTCATAATAGTTGGCTCAATGAATAGCTGAAGGAGAGCTGAAGACTTAATTCCAGATATTAGATGTGAAACGTATTCTTTCTGTTTTTATATTAAATTTGCCCTTAGCAGATTAGCATAATAGGGCTTCAGCCTCAGCTTCCAAAGCAATTTAGCGTATCTCACAATATCTGGCTGAATGTTCTGAAAAGGGAGAATTACAAACATGGTGCAAGAGTGTGGAATAAGCACCCCTAACAGATAATCTTTCCTGCAATATTTTAGCCCCTAAATATTTTGCTGAATCTTTACCAGGATAAACTCACTCGAAACAATCTTAAAATTTATAAAATACACCTTGTAACAGAGCTAATTTTTCATGAAAACCTGTGCTATAGGAGCCCATCCAGACTTTTCCTGAGAAGATGGAATGATTCAGATCAAGGGACTTTTCAAACCATTTTTGTCATTAACATTTATTTCAATTAAAGGAATGTAAATTCAGAATTAATGTAAGATAAAACCTTTTCAAAGTATTTGGTAAAGAAATACTATTAACAGTTTGATTAAAATGTTTGTGGTACCTGTGCTATGTATTACAGATGTTTATAAAATAAAAAGCCTATTCTGAAGAAAATCAAATTCTGATAAATTCTGGTTTGTAAAAAATCAATCCACTGGTACAGTCCTCCCAGGGGAAAAGCAACTTGCCTTTTTATCATCAGATAAAAATCTAAAGAGCATACTTCTTTCAGTTGTGACCATCACAGCACTATATAACCTGCACAGGCCTAAATCCTTTTAATCAGAGAATACAGTAAAAGAAACAAGACTGTGGTATTTAACAGAGCTTATAGACCATGTACTATAAAACATTTTCTTTTGAAAATAAAAATTTTATAATCTATTTCAAAAACATCAAACAACTGAAAGATACATAAACTGGAACAAAATTTCCAAACATAAATTCAAAAACCTTGGAAAAGCCATACCTATAGCATCAAATAACATCTAGCTGCATTTACTAACTAAAATAGTCCCTAAAAATGATTTCTGTATGTGTTAACGGAGTTTAACACTTCAACATTTCAATGGAAACTGCCATTCTGTCACACATTATCAAAATCTGTTCTCTAAATAATTTGAAGAAATTTCAATTATAAGACAATGGAGACTACAAATAGAAACAGTGAATTTTATAAGTTTTTCAAATGCCTATATGTGATTTCCAAACACATAATTTTTTATGCTTATAGTTTGGAACAAATTTTCCCTGAGCACTCTTTCTGCTTGGTTAGAAAAATTAAAACATGATCTATATAATAGAATTTAGCTTGATTTCTACTGAATACACAGCATTTTTCACCCATCAAATGTATTTGGGAATGTTTCCTTCTAGACACTGATAAAGTAGTAAGTAATTGTAACTGTTTAATGGGGCTATTCGAATGGCTTTAGAAACATGGCTGGGTTTTAGAGCCCTGAGAACTGCACACTGGGTGTATTATACAACTAAAATGATTTACTATCCTAAAACTATCAAGTTATTTTAATAAATTCAGAATGGCACTGGCTTCACAGAGGAAAAGGAATAATCAGTAATTCCAGCTCAGATAACCAATAGATAAGCATTAAAAACTGAAAGAAAAACAAGTTGGATGAACATTGTGCTTTCCATGGATTAATGCTGAAAAAAATTAACCCTCTTGCCCAACACAGGGAATACATCACACCTTGAAACTTTATTTAATATAGGCTTGAGACCTGTCACTCCTTAATATTCATGCAAACTTAAAATTAGCATCCCTGGGAGTTTCATTACACACATTGCAGTTCTCAATGCTATCCCAAGAGTTACAGCTCAAAAGGCATACTATAATCAGTGCACATGCACAGTACCATCACCAGCTGTGTTCCCTTAATTTATTAAGGTCTTAAAAAGTCTTAGCTACTTGAGAGTTGACGCCTCCTCTCTTTCAAATAAATAAAGGATAACAAATATTAGGAGTCTTAACTATGCAAATCTGTAAATACTAATTTTCCACATAGCATCACATTAAAAGAAAGTCAGATTTAAGAAGTTTCATATTTACAATTAGGTTTCAAAAGACCTAACTATACATTTCCCTTAGCATTATGACTTATGTGGTTTGCAAGAATAATAAATAAAACATTTAGAAGTCATCGTTCTGAAGATCTTCAAGAAGTGAGCAATCTCAGATGTCCAGAGGTGTGTCTTCTTTTTAGTTGTAGTTAAGATGCTTTATGCAGGACGCCCTGGACCAAAACGGCTTTTAGACCTAGATTTTTTAAACAGAAAAGAAGGTCAGAGGTGCTTCTAAAACAGGAGGAAGTTGCTGCTGCTTTAGGTTATGTTTGCTTGACAGTATCAGAGTTAAATGAAACTTCATGTAGCCCCACAATCCATTTTTAAAAACCTTTGGAGTGAGACATATTTTGGAATTCAGATTTTTGTGGATGTGGGGGACAGAATATGGTACATATATTGTATATTATGGATTGGAGCAATGCCCTTTAACCAAACACATTAATACTTTTTCAGTGTAACAAATGAACATTTAAATTAAGTGTGATAAATAAAAACTATAAATAGCATCATAGTAGTTCAGCCAGGTTTGAGTTGCCACAAATGTACAAAAAAGTCTTTTGGTTTTCTGAGTTTTCTGGATTTCAGAATTGCTGATAAGGCATTTGGATCTGTAGTATTAATGATCCAATCTCAATAAGTGTTATAATTTAAAAGAAATTTTGTGATGTAAAATGACAGAGGACCCACAAGTTACTTTTTATTAAGAGAAATAAAATAAGGAACAGGAAAGACTTTAATGATTTATATAAAATAATAATATATAACCCATAAATAGTATAAAATTCTACTAATTCACAGTAGCAGTATAGTTTACATTCTTGTCAGCAGGTGGCTCAGAACAGAAGTAATTCAGTAAACAGAAAACTTAAAAAAAAACCCAAAACTATACTTTCATTAAGTTTTGTGCTTATGAGCTTTTTAAGTCTTAACTTGATGTTAAATTCTGGTTCTGACTAATGTCTTGATGATCTAATCTTTGAAACAAAACAAACCAAACTCCAATTATGTGCCTCTATTGTTCATGTCATTTTCCCTAAAAAAAGAAAATCACGTCAAAGCCAGTCGCATTCTGAATCTGTTTATGCTGCTTTACCTTGTGTTTTTTTCTGAGCTGCTTTGCCGGGCAGTGACTGGCACTGAGGCCTTAATTTGCGCTTCAAGTCTGGAATAAATACCTCCTGCAAACTGCAGAGTAAAGGGGCAAAATGAAGTTATTATTTTTATGGAATCAACAGAAGCTCTGCTTTATTAAAATGGCATTACTTTTTAGCTTAGAAGTAATTTTATTTTGATCTTTAAAATTCAGGCTCTTTGAATTATAATTTATGTGAATAATTTTACATATAGTAAAAATTCACCCTTTTTAGCGTACAGTTCTGAGTTCTGAAAATGCATACAGTAGTGTAACCATTGTTACAAGGGAGAAATACATTTCCATCACCTCAAGAAAATCCCCTTGTGCCTCTCATAAGTCAACCCACGATCAGTTCCCGGCAACTACTTATCTGTTTTATGTCCCTACAGTTTTGTATTTTTGAAAATATTACCTAAATTGAATCACACAGTCTGTGTAGCCTTTGAAATCTGGTTTCTTTCACTTAGCGTAATGTGTAGGAGATTCATTTATGTTACTGATGTATTAGTTCTTTCTTTTTTGTATGCACCACAGTTGGTTTATTCATTTACCAGGTGAAGGACATTTGGATTGTTTCTAATTTTTGGCAGTTCTGAATAAAGCCAGTATAAACATGTATGAACTGATCTCTATGGTGAGTAAATGTTTAACTTTATAAGAAACTGACACACTGTTTTCCAAAGTGACCATTCCTTTTTGCATCCCTACCAGCTATAAATGAGAGTTTCAGTTGCTCTCCATCCTGACCAGCACTTTTTTCCCCTTCATTGTAGATATTTTAGTTGTTATATAGCAGTTATCTCACTGAGGTTTTAATTTACATTTCCCTAATGACTAAAGATGCTGAATCTTTTTATGTGCTTATTTACCATCTGTATCCCTTCTTTCATGAAGGGTCTGGTTAATCTTTTGCCCATTTAGTTTTATTGGATTATTTGATTATTGAGTTTTGAAAGTTCTTTATATATTTTGGACACATCCTTTACCAGATAAGTGTTTTTACACATATTTTCTCATAGATTATGGCTTATCTTTTCATTTTCTTAGTAGTGTCTTTCAAAAAGACCATTGATATTCAAAAAGACCATTTTCTTAGTAGTGTCTTTCAAAAAGACCATTGACAAAGTCTGATTTGTCAATTTTTTCTTTCACAGATCATGCTTTTGGTGTCACAGCTAAGAAATATTTGCCTAACCAAGGTCACAATGATTTTAGAATTTTTGACACTGTATGTTAACGATATTGAAATTAAAAATAAAAAAGAAAGATTTTATAAGTTTTATAGTATAGGGAAGTAAATTTTTAAATAAAAGAATTAGGGCAAGAGTTTTTGTGAATACATAATACCAATACTAATGTTAATATACAGTGTTATGACTAATACATAGTTTTAGTAAGAACACAGGTATTTCCAGGCATCATTTTCAGCAAGATTACATCTTATTTTAGAAATAACATCTAAGCACTGCCTACAGAGTTGACTGAAATCAGCAACTTCCAAAAAGTCACCCTCTGGATAGTCAGCAATGCACAGCTAATCTACTCGTGGTGTGACATTACACTTTCAGCAATAACCTACCTTATTATGTGTGTTATAGAGGACTTATGGACCACGGGTGATACGAAGGTGGACAACGTTTATGTGAGTGAACTGGTACAGAATATAAAAATATATTAAAATATTTACATTAGTTTTTAGAAATTCTGCCTAAAACATCTTTATATTACTCATGATGAAAATAAAGTAGGAAGGCATATCTATGCAAGCACAGTGCCCTAGCACATAATTCTTACTTCTTTTGCTTCCTTTGACTTGACACGGTCCAGATCACCCAATCTCATCTTTATTAGGTGCCCTGTAATTTCGGACATCCGCCGCTGATCTGGAGGTAAAATATAATAAACCTAACTTTTTATGGGGATGATTTATAACTTCTGTTCCTTAAAGAACACACACTTCAATTATCATGAATTTATGAAAATACCATTAGATACTATTTTACAGACATCTACACATATTTATCTTTGAAGAACTTTAGGCAGCAAGTGGCAAAATGGCTTATACATAGGTAATTGTGCTGCTTTTAAAAACAATTTGACAATAAATTTCATATATTAAAAAAATAAAAAAATAAAAAATAAAAAAAGATTAAAAACAGACCTATTGGTTACATGTTATAATAAATAGTGAAGAACAAAAAAAAACCCACTTGTAAATGAACCTAAAATATGATGTGCAAATAATGGGCAAAAGTCAGTCTGAGACCTCCAAACCACAGGTGCATAAAACAACACATTATCTGCTGGGGTTGTCTACTAATACAACTCTGGTTGATTCCTAAGGGAATGTGCAAATTCTGGGCTTTATTCCAGTTGGAACTTTTAACGCTATTCAGCATACTGCATAAAATGAAAGATTCCTGGGGCACCTGGGTGTCTCAGTCGGTTGAGAGTCCGACTTAGGCTCAGGTCATGATCTCACAGCTCGTGAGTTTGAGTTCTGTGTCAGGCTCTGTGCTGACAGCTCGGAGCCTGGAGCCTGCTTCAGATTCTGTGCCTCCCTCTCTCTCTGCCCCAACCCACTCACATTCTGTCTCTGTCTCAAAAATAAACAAACATTAAAAAAAAAAATTTAAAAAAAATGAAAGATTCCTATCACTGTTATTTATACCTAATCTGTACGTTACCTAAATATTAAAACTTACCATCTTCCCTTTGTGCATCCTGGTTGAATCTCAAGGATCTTGTGGCATCCCATTTATTCTTCTGCATACTCACGCTATTAGAAAATTTAAACAAAAATCAGCACTGATGCTTTAAGAGTGAATATCTGATGGATTAAGGAGCAATACTCACATGAAAGGAGACACATCTCTAGAAGTTGACTAAAAAAAAGTAGATAACATTAAGGTCCAATTAGAACATATTTACTGATTAGTGTTACAGTTTAAAATAAAAAGCAGCCTAATTTATTGAGTTCAAGACACCGTACCAAAAGCATCACAAGTATTATTTCATTTAAATCTTGCAACAACCACACGAGACAGCAGCCGTAATTATCTCTATAATAAAACAGGCTCAGAGAAGTTAAAGAACTTGTCCAAAGAGATATAGACCTAAATTTGAACCCAGCTTTATCTGTCTGACCTGGAAGCCCCAGCTTATACAATCTTTTAGAATTCACCCATTTGTGTGCTTGTAGCACTTGGCACGCAGATGAACGTACAACCTGCCCAATATAATTGTGTGGAACTTGTCTCAACCCAGCCTTCCATACATTTTTGGAATCTATGATTTCTCTTTTAGTCAAATATGGTTATTATTGTCCTCTTAATCCTACCTGGCTTTCAAAGGCATGTGAAATAAGAATTATTTTAAAAGCTCATAAAATACAATTTATTTAAAAATTATAAAGTCTACTTATTTATCTCATTTCAAAGTTTTTTGAACAAGTACTACTGGTTCCAGATTCAAAAGTTACAAACAGCACATATAGTGAAAAGTCTCTGTCTCCCATTCACTTCCCTTTAGAGGCAACATTTTATGCATATATAAGGAAAGATATATAGATTTCTCTATCTATTCTATACTATGCATACTTTTTCTCACCTATCAATATATCTTAGAGATCTTTAATCTGTTTATGTGGAACTTCTTTGTTCGTTGCTATATCTCTAGCATTCCACTGTATGTTCTTAACTCTTCTTCAGATTTTTCTTGGCTATATTTGCCTGCTTATTTCTCAATATGAACTTTAGAACAGTAATAGATAATTTAGAGTTACCTTCTCTAACACCTTTTCTTTCTTCTGACCACAAGGTGAAGACATCTGCTTTTTTGGTTGTTTTGTGAACTTCTTTGGCTTTTCCTTTTTCCCTGACAAAAGAAAGTCCATGTTATGAGCATAAGTTTCACATACTTCTCCAATGCACTTATTACTTACTTCCAAACAATAAAACCATTTTGTAAAAAAGACATGTTTCTTAAAACTAACAAATTACCTCTAAATAAAATATAAATATATTGAGAAGTTGAATGTACTTTATAGGGGTTAGTTTTAATTACTTTTCTTCTTTCTACTTGGTGAAAACCTTAAGGAGAAAAAAATCAGGGCAATAATTTCAAAATGCCAGTGAAATTAAATGTTGAAAATGTTGGGGGTTGGGGCGCCTGGGTGGCTCAGTCAGTTGAGCGTCCAACTTCGGCTCAGGTCATGATCTCGCAGTCTGTGAGTGTGAGTTCAAGCCCCGCGTCGGGCTCTGTGTTGACAGCTCAGAGCCTGGAGCCTGTTTCAGATTCTGTGTCTCCCTCTCTCTCTGCCCCTCCCCTGCTCATGCTCTGTCTCTCTGTCAAAGATAAATAAACATTAAAAAATTAAAAAAAAAAAAAGAAAATGTTGGGGGAAACTATATGTATTTCTCTGAATCTAATTTGATAGTGGTTTTAACACCTAATTCCAAATTTTTATATACCAAAAAACAACAACAACAACAACAACAACAACAACAACAACACCATAACCCAAAAAAACACAGTTTGGGAATGGGAGGAATGAAGAACTCACAAAAAAGCTTTAAAATGTCTTTGCTTGGGTGGGTGGGAAGGGGCTATTTGGGTAAAAATGGAGGTAGGACAGAAATGATTTTGGGAGGAAGCAGATTTGGGACAAATTGTATTCTGAACTAGTGCTTTGCTACAATCAATATTCTGAATTTATTCTGGCTGACAGTGTAGAGGACAAAGGAAAGGAAAAGAAAAGAAGGAGGGGAAAGATGCGTTTCTCTAAAATCAATGTTGGAAGGCAAGGCGAGTACATCAGATCACTGTTTCCCAAACATCAAAAAGACACGATAGGGTGAGATTAGAGTGTGACGACAAGTTCCTTCTAAAGAAAAGAATGGTAGAAACAGAGCAAAAATACTATAAACAACCAAATGTAGGTACTGGCAAATAATCAAAGGGAGGTAGAAAGTTGAGTGTTTACATTTAAAGGATGCATGAGGTGGGGAGGTAGGGGAGGGATTGAATGAAACAGGTGATCGGGTTAAAAGAGTACACTTATCATGATGATATGCTTATCACAATGAGCACTGAGTAATCTATAGAATTGTTGAATCACTGTATTGTACACCTGAAACTAATAAAACACTCTATGTTAACTATATTGGAATTAAAATTAAAAACTTAAAAAAAAAGATGCATGAGGTAAGAATTGTGAGTTTATGGCTTTCTGCCCGAGGGCACTTTTCTCAATATCCCCAGCTAAGGTAGGAAAATTACAGCCTTATGAGCTCCAGGGAAAAGATGATACAATTGAAAGAAAGAGAAGCTGGAAATTTAAAGGTGAAATTTTAGAAGAAAGTCACAGAAGACTGGAGATCTAAAATGTGACTATAAACTCTGCCCAAATAATTGTTAAACTATGAAAGTGTACAGGAGACCCTAGGAGATCCAGCTAAGCAGGCAAGCAGAAAGACACTTGCTCTTGAAGAGAAGTGAGACTTTCTTGTGCCTTTGACTTGACGATTTCCCAAACTTCATTGAGCTCAAGCTTCTGAAAGCAGGAGCCCTACTTAGGACTAGAAAACAACTAGCAATCGAGAGGGAACCCATAAAGCAAGGTGAAGCTAAGCAGGTAAGCCCCCAAATCTGAATATAAAGTCTGTCCAAAATCTTGCCTGAATACTAAACTACACAGGCTGGTATGACCCTGGGGGTCAGGCTAAAACAGTAGCTTAGCAGCCAAGAAAAACCCATGCAGAGACAGCATTTACTACATACCATGAGGCAGACAGATTTTGCAGTTTGGGTCAGGCAAGTTAACTGCCTACTAGAACAAAAAAACCCAACAATTCTAAGAACAAAAACATTTCAGAACTGCACAAAGATAACCTACCAAAAGTTACAAGATGAAGAAACTAAAAAATATGAACTACTCAGAAAAGAAACAGTGAACAGAAACTGATTCTGAGAGAACCTACATACTGGATTAAAGCAGACAATGTGATTTTGGGATGCCTGGGTGGCTCAGTTGATTAAGCATCCAACTTCGGCTCAGGTCATGATCTCACGGTTGGTGGGTTCCAGCACCGTTTTGGGCTCTGTGCTGATAGCTCGAAGCCTGGAAACTGCTTCAGATTCTGTGTCCTCCTCTCTCTTGCCCCTCCCCCACTCACTCTGTCTCACTTTCTCAAGAATAAACGTTAAAAAAAAAAAGCAATGATTTCAAAGCAACTAGTATAAGTATGTTCAAAGGGAAAATGGTGTTACTGAATAAACACATAGGAAATCTCAACAAAGATATGGAAACTATAAAGAAGAACCACGTGGAAATTCTAGAACTAAAAGCACAATAATTGAAATATTTAGTAGATGGGCTCAAGAAAAAGACTGAAATGGTAGAAGAATATACCGGTGAAATGGAAGTTAAGCATTAGAAATGATCCAATCCAGGGGCGCCTGGGTGGCTCAGTCAGTTAAGCATCTGACGATTTCCACTCAGGACATGATCTCACAGTTTGCAGGTTGAGCCACATGTCAGGCTCTATGCTGGCAGTGCAGAGCCTGTTTGAGATTTTCTCTCTCTCCATCCCTCTCTCTCTCCGCCCCTCCCGTGCTCTCTCTTTCTCAAAATAAATAAAACTAAAAAAAAAAAAAAAAAAAAGAAAGGAAAAGAAAAGAAATTATTCCATCCAAAAAATAAAGAGTGAAGACAAAGAAACAAAACTTCAGAAGCCTGTGGGGCAATATCAAAAGGTCCAACATACATGTACTGGAGTTCCGGAAGGTAAGTGAGAGAAAGGGACAGAAGAGACACTTAAAAGAATAATGATTGCAAGCTCCCCAAATTTTGTTTAAAACATTAATTTACAGATCCCAGAAGCTCAACAAATACCAAGTAAGAAAACCACACCTAGGCATATCATAGTCAGGCTTCTGAAAGTAAAAAATAAAATCGTGAAAGAAGCAAGATAAAAAGGGCGCATTACATCCAGGGGAATAATTATATCAATGGCTAACTTCTCATCAGAAATAATGGAGGCTAGAAGATACTGGAATGGGAGATACAAACTGTTAAAAGAAAAAAATAATTGTTAAATAAGAATTCTATATTGGAGAAACTGTACTTAGAAATCAAAGTGAGGGGCACCTGGATGGCTCAGTTGGTAGAAAGTGTGACTCTTGATCTCGGGGTTGTGGTTGGGGCCCCACGTTGGGTGTAGAAATTACTTAAGAATACAATCTTTAAAAAAAAAGGGAAATAAAGAGATTTTCAGATAAGTAAAAATGAAAGAATTTATTGCTAGTATGCCTACACTATAGGAAATAATGAAAGTTCTTCAGAATGAAAGAAAACAACATTGCATGACAATTACTCAGATATAAAAAAGTAGTAAAGATGTAAATATAAAAGACTAAATGTATATATATTTTATTTTGCCCCTCTACATTCTTTGAATGACATAGAACTGTTTAAAGCAAAAATTGTAACACATAATGTAATTCTGTATAATTTATAAAGATAAGTAACAATGGCACAAAGAAGGAAAAACTAAGGAAACTCTTACTTTAGAGTTATATTTTACCTAAAGTGATTCTTATTAGCTTTAAGTAGACTGTGATAGGTTAAAGATGGTGTTGTAATCTTTAGAACAATAAAATGCAAAGAAATACAACTAAAAAGCCAGTAAAATAATTAGAATGATATACTAAATTTATTTTCTTAGCACAAAAAAAGCAAGAAAGGCGAAATAAGAGAAACAAAACATCTGAAATAATTAGAAAATGAATAGCAAAATGGCAGAACTAATGCAACCACATCATTAAACACATTAAATATAAATAGAATACATACTCCAATCAAAAGGCAAACTGTCAAACTGGATAAAAAAGCAGTTTTCAACAACATGCTATCTACAAGATATACACTTTAAGTCAGAAACACAAAGAGGTTAAAAATAAAAGGATAGCAAGAAGATATGCCATTCAAACAGTAAACAAATCTAGAGTGATAATATGAGTACCAAACAGACTTCAAGACAGTTTTACTACAGACAAAGAGGAATATATCATAATGATAAAAGAGTCAATACACTACATATGTATGCCTAATCATAAAGCTGTAATGTACACAAAATAAAAACTAGTAGACTTAAAAGGAAAAATACATATATTAACAATTATAGCTGGAGATTTTAACACCTTCTTTTACTAATCAGTGGAACAAGAAGTTAGAAATAAGCAGTCAGAAAAAGAGCACAACTATAGAAGCTTTGCAACAGATAACCAAAACAACTTAACATTTATAGACTACACCAACAACAGATTTCACATTCTTTTCATGCACATGTGGAACATGTATCAATAAAATTTAAGGAATGAAACAACATAGAGTATATTCTCTGACCATGATGGGATTAAGTTAGAAACCTGTAACTGAAAATACCCAGACAATCTGAAAATATTTGGAAATTAAACAACATACTACCAAATAACACATGTGTCAAACAAAAACAAAATCATAATGGGAATTAGAAAATATTCTGTACTGATTATAAATGGAAACAAGACATAACAAAGCCTGTGGGAAATAGTTAAAGTGGTGTTTAGAGCAAATCTTACAGCTTTAAATGCTTGTATTAGAAAAGAAGAAAAGTAAAAAAACCAGTAAGTTTCTACCTTAAGAAGTTAAAAAAGAAATAAAGGAAATTAAGTTCAAAATAATTACAAGGTGGCACAAAAACAGACACATAGACCAATGGAATAGAATAGAAACCCCAGAACTAGACCCACAAACGTATGGCCAACTCATCTTTGACAAAGCAGGAAAGAATATCCAATGGAAAAAAGACAGTCTCTTTAACAAATGGTGCTGG